AGAAGCAGTTGTGAAGTTGCTGAAGAAGAAACTAAAGTTCAAAAAATTATGTTGGTTATTATAAATTTTTTTTAAGAAAAAAGTTTAAACAGTCACCGCATGTAGTCAGATGTGGCAAGAAAACGTAGCTTTCAACTACACTTTTTTTAAAATGCAGACTAAATACAATTTTGTGAAACAGAAAAAATTGTGATACCAGACTAAAATATTTGAAATAGCGTGTCCCCGTATTTCCTACATCCTTCACGATTTTGTACTTGCAATCAAAGCGAGTGAATGTCATTGGTGGGGGATCCCAAAAACAAAATTGGGTGGAGATTTTCTCAGTGTGCAAGTCTGCGGCTACAAGGAGGCCTATGCATGATCCCCTTCCCTCCTTGAACTAGGCTTGATCCCTTAAAGATTTTCTAAGGGACATTAACTCACACCACCCAAATTTTATTTATTTACATATCTAACACCGATATTTATAGTTTTTTTATAAACATACCACCCAAATAATTTTTTAAAAAAATAAAATTTTGCATTTATTTAAATCATTAAAAAATTTAACATAAAAAAAAATATTAAAAAAATATTATTATTTAATTATTTAATTATTTCGAGCGAAAACGAGTGAAACATGAACGAGTAAATCTTTGTTTGTGTTTGGTTCATTTATAAATCGAGCTCAAAAAAATTATTTGTATTTGGTGTGCTTGCTTGATGGACGAATAGAGCATGAGCTATTTAACAAGTCGAACATCAATTGTCCGCGAACAACGAGCTTTTTTAACAGCCCTAAAGATGGACGTTTTGTATTGTGTTAGCATTTAAAATGTAATCACTAATCATAAATTTTTTAAAACTATAATTTTTAGTTAATATAAGGGCAGAGGTAATATAAGGAGATTAGATGTTTTAGATTGGACTTATGTTAATAAAGACAGTGGTGGACCATGAAAGACTTGGCATATTATATAAAAGATGAATTTAATTAAAAATATTATTAGGAGTTGTGGAGCTCAAACCACTTCCTGATTGGGTCGTCTTGCACCTATGGAAACGAATTGATTTATTTCCTCGTATGCTTTTATTCTATTATTATACTTTCCTTCATTAAATTTTTACCGCCTCTCTCTCTAAAATTCCCGCTTCTTCCTGTTATTTGCATAATGGGCTTTTCTTTCCTTAATGGGCCAAATTGGAACGATTTAGGGTCTGTTTGGGATAGCTTATAAGTGCGGGCGGCGATTTGAAAACGCTGTCTCACTGTTTGGTACCCACTTATCAGGAGATTATTGAAAAATGTGTTTTCTAAATTGTAAAAGACGCGGACCGCAGGCTGACCCCCACGGTCCGCGTTTTCAGATTCCAATTTACGCATATTGCCCTCGATCCCGTTCTTGTGACCTTGCTTTTTCCTTCACCTCTCACGTGACCCTAGCTTCGCCTCTCGCTCTCGTCTCCGTTCAAAGCCGGATCACAGTCATTCTCTAACCAACCTCACCAACTCGTTCGACGCCGGATCCAGCAACCCGTCGCCTCTCGTTCCCGTTAGCAAGCCGTTCAACGCCAGATCCAGCAGGGCTTGGCTGCTCGCTCCCGTAACCTTGCCATTCGACGCCGGATCGAGGCTCGCTCCCATAACATCTGTTCGACGCCGGATTCAGCAGCGGAGAATCCATCGCCAGAGTCCACCAGCGGGGAACCCTCC